ATAAACGAACATACACATAAGCAACCTGGGTTTTATAATAAGTAAAACTCGATAAGAGTTGTCCCCCTTTCATTCTGACGACAGAATCGTGTTTTATTGTGTTTTCAAAGTGATTTCATGCAAAAACAATTGTGTTTTTCCAATTTTTGGCGCTGTCAGAACCACCGCAAGGTAATTTTAGACAGTCCTGTGAAGTTTTGTTGAAATCGGTTGAAAAATGTAGGAAATCCGATCCAATATATAAACTTACAGACACACACACAATCTGCGTTTTATAATAAGTAAGATTAAAATCGAGCACGAACTTTTGCAATGATCTGATATATTACAAAAACAACAAAAATGTCTTACTTGAAATATTGTTTTAATAAATAAAATGAGTTATGTTTGCTGAAAATGATTTGCATCTTGTTGTTGGACAAAATCTCGACAACCTAAGATAACGCAGATGACAGTATGTTGATGGCAAACACAGAAAGAAAAAAATTCCTGGAGAAAAAAATAAAAGGTAAGCGGAATAAAAGAGACTAACTCTTAACGTGTGGTCGTTAGCAAAATGGGAAGCCCAAGATACGAGCCCCCCCCCCCCAATCAAGAAAGTACAGAAATCTATCTGGAAAGTGTTTTAACAGATGATGTAAAATGTAACACAAATATCCGAAAACACGTTGGAATAACGAAATATGTCTTCCAGAAACTATGCAAAGTATTAAGAAACAGGAAAATTTCGTTAGAAACAAATAAAAGAGTGTTGAACTGCTATATAATATCCAACCGCCTATCTAGCAGTCAATGCTGAAAAATTTCCTCACAGACGAAGGGAAACTTGAGTCAACAGAGACGTGGTTCTACAGAAGGATGCTGAGAATATCATGACGTTATAAGAAAAATGAAAACAAAAAGAAAAGTTAAAAATACAAAAGACATTTGACATTACTTGAACAGATAATGAGGTAAGTGGGATTAGAGAATTTGACACTCACAGGCCATATTGAAGGCAAGATAGACAGAGGGAAACAGCAAGTAACCTACCTAACAAGTTGTGCAAAGAAGTGGCTACGAAGAATAGAAAGTAGTGGAGATCAATTACCGTTCACGTGCTGAAAGGACAGGGCGTAAACAAAGGAAATAATGTAGATTTCACATGACAAGACGGACACCATGCATTGTTTGTGATAAAGGGCCTCGGCTATTCTTGACCTCAAATATGTCAGGCAATACTTGGGCCTAACAAGCATGAAATTTGCTTATAGCAACGTATCAATTAGGGGGGGGGGCGACTTCCAGCCACATCACGTTGAAACACCGGTTCCATACAATCACCAAAGTTAAGCAACGTCGAGCATGGTCAGTACCCAGATAGGTAACTGCTTGGGAATACAGGTGGTATAAAGGATAACGGCTCGGAATTATTAATCGCCGAGCAGAGTTCCTAATTCACGATGGGTTCGTTATATTAACTTACACGAAAATACCCTTGGAAAAAGGTACGAATACTCCGTCTCTTCTCCCCCAGCTATGGATTAATTAGTAGTCTCACTAAACCATTATTATCTCAAAAAAAAAAAAAATAAAAGTTCTTAAAAGCTAAAAATATTTTCTGGCTTTAAATAATAATAATAATAATAATAAAGGTTGATAATCCGTAGAAAATGAATCAATCAAACAAATATTAACAATCTAAACAAGCATGTCTTTTAGATTTATTTACATTCTCTGGAACAAATTAAGGGATCACTTTATATTGATTGTAATATAGAATTAATCCTCCACCTCATATCCACATGAATATTTGTTTACCAAATTCTGATTAGGTATGAATACACCTCTCCCCCCACTATGGGTTAATTAGTAAGATTTGTATCAATAAACCATTTCCAAAAATAAATAAATAAATTTTTAGAATTTAAAACTTTTTTTTGACTTTAAATAACCTGCGATGGGTTGATAAGCTGTAAAAAACAAAAAATCAATCAATCAAAAACTACGGAGGCGAATATCAGATAATATTAAAGTCTATGTTAACGTGTATGTGCTTACGTCTGGTGAGAACGTTGTTAGGAATAAATTTCTCGGATTTGTTTCACTACACGTGTTTGAATGAAGAGATTTGGCTGTTAAATATACTTCGTTTGCGAAGCACGATGCTAATAAGATTATCATCATTAGAGATCATTTGAAGTCTCATGAGGTCGATGATATGTCAGATATGATGTACGACTTAAAGCGGTCCAACTTTTGTGCGGAGATGGCCGCCAGAAGATACTTCCCTTTATCTGAGCCAGTCCTTTAGGCTAAAAAGCTAATCAACTATCTCGTTTATATGTCAGCCATTTGTGCACGGGACAACATCTCTTCACTCTGAAAGGGTGGAGAACTTTCTTTGGTATCTGTGGCTTGACTGAGGTGTCTCGGGGATTTTTTTTTTTTAAATAAATAAACAAAAATAAGCACCCTTGTAACTAGTCTCATAATCCTATCATAATTAGGATTGTCCCTCTCTTCGTTAGTTCGCACGACCGTTACGCCCTGCCAATATCTCATAAATAATAGACTGTTGGGTTTTGAATGCGTGGAAAGAGGTGAAAATACACTATTTGGTTTTAGTGAGAAAAAATAAAAGAAAGAAGTAGAGAGAATGAGCGATAAAATCAGATTAAGCTGAACAGATACTACACTTGGATCTTAACCAAAAGGCCGCGAAGCGATTGTATTTACCATAGCGGCCACGTCGTAACGGAAATGACAACGTCGAGATTTAAAATGGGTTTAACGGTAATACCGCAGAAAAATTACCGAAGCCCCCTCGGTACTTCCCCTTTTGCGGGACGCTTCAGGCGCCGGGCAATGAATCCAGCCCCCTCCCGAAGGAGGGGTACTGCCTGGAGGGAGGGGGGCTTGACTTAATACCGTCCCCGTTCAAAAGGCCGAGATTCGTTGGCAACCTGCGATAAACGCGCCATTATTTAGGTGCACAGTACCAAACGACAGAAACTGAGTAAGTCAATCGCCAAAAATCCAGTTACCATAAATAAATATCGTCTGCTGAATTATTTTTTAAATATTGTTAAGAGAAATGTATCTCAGACGGGGATTTGGCTAGAAAGTAAGATTGAAAAGAGGGTTGATAGAAGTGTTTAACCTCTCCTGACAATACCTCGTAAATAATGGACTATTCCGTTTTTATTGTGTAGAAAAAACAAAGACAGACGCTCCGTGGTTTCAGTGAGAAAAAGAATGAAAGAAAAAAAAAAGGAAGATAGAAGTGTTTAACGACTGTTTCAGTGAAATTCAAAACTTTGTCAAATTCAATTTTTTTTTCATTTCTCCCCACTTCTTAAAATAACCAGTATTCATACTTATGATTTTTATTGCAATATTTTGGTAAAATTCTTAAGCTCAAATATTTAACGATGTGATAGGGGAATTTCTACGGATATTTCATTGTTGTAGAACACGCCATGAGTTTATTCATTAACTGAAGAATTAAGATTAACCAGAATATTAAAATAGGAATTTCTTGAAATTTTTAAGGGGCTTTCTAGTACAATTAACTTCATTTTGAATGTAAAAACATTTTGTTTAATTTAATGACTATTTTGGGGTGTTTGGTGCGTGGTGGCGTAATCATCATGTTGTATGGTTAGACAAGTACACACTACCGGGCCCAAGGATTGAACATATAATTATTATGTCGCCAAATTGAATGGTTCTGCAAAACAAAATGATCATACCCAGATCAAGCAACCACTGCAAAGTTTTATTTGAAGAAAATAACAGACTTTACTGATTAACAATTCACAATAAATTTTCTGTTGTAATTAAGGTGTGGTTTGTTTTATGATTTATTGCAGACAAGATTTTTATTGCTGATAATATTTTTCATCAAAAATGTATTGTCGGTAATAATTTTTCCAAAAAGTATTACTGGTATTAAGACCTATTTTTGTACTTCTACAGTGTTTTGACCCGTGATTTTTGTTTTTGGGAGGGGGGAAGTAACTATTTGCCTATAGCTGGGACCCTTACAAGTACTATCATCCTGGGAACACCAGAAATTAAGAGGTGGTTCCACGCTCCTCAAAACCTCCTGATCAGAGGCCTTGCTGTCAAATATAGTTTGTCGTCTTAACCAGGATGCTTTAATTGAGGAGGTTGTGATATAGTTAATGTAGTAATATTTTCTTTTCTTTTTACAATACTATTCACCTAGTACAAGGCCCAAGAGGTAAAAGGTTTCAAAGTAAATGATAAGAGGCACAGTTTATAAGGATCTGTTAACCCTACACTTAAACAGGTTAAGATTGTAGTGATCGGGAAAGCATCCTCTTGGGAGACGGTTCCACAAAATAGCGGTTCACGGGAAGAAGCTGTTCGAGTAGAACTTACTTCACACGAGTGGAATAGGAAGAGAATGATGGCGATTCGTTATAATGTGTGTGGCATGGGAGATTTTAGCCGTGAAGGTTAGAAACAATGGAACTAAAGAAGATAATCCGTGTGAACATTTATGGAAATAGCGATAAATCTGTAAAAGGTTTCTAACACTTCGTCTGCTGGAAAGGGATGGTAAGGTAGAAAACAGTTCATCACTCACAAGGCCGTGTAGAGGATTTTTAACCGTCTAAACTGGGAAGCAGCTCCTGTCCATATATGGAAGCAGTACTCTATATTCGAACTTATTTGGCTTTTCTAAAAGGTAAAGGATATTAAGAGTCAGGTACTTACTGGAAGAGTACAGAGAACTGACCATCTTTGGGGGTGGTTTATATGTTAATCTTCTAAGCATAGCTTAGATGTAGCAAAAGGCCGAAAGTGTGGAGCACCCAGTGAGGATCGGACTCACTATTCAGTTGTAATTAATCTAGCAAGACAAGCTCGCTAACCATTACACCATTTTAGTGATGGATTATATATATATATATATATATATATATATATATATATATATATATATATATATATTTTCCAAGTCCCAATAGATGCTAAAGTCACAAGGCTTACAGCCATATCATAATGAAACACCGCTTCCCGTACGATCACCGAAGTTAAGCAACGTCGAACCTGGTCACTACCCTAGATGGTCAACCGCTTGGTAATACCAGGTGCTGTAAGCTTTAATATGCAAGTGGTGTAATGCCTCGGAATTGTTAATTGGAGAGCCGAGTTCCAATTCCAGTTGGGCTCGTTATCTTCATTTACGCTCAAATACCCTTGGGAAAGGCATGAATCCATCTCTTCCCAGCTATGGGTTAGTTAGTATAACTTGTATCACTAAAGTATTATTATCTAAAAAGAAATATTTACAATCTAAAAAATTCTGGCTTTAAATAACCTACAAATGGTTGATAAACCGTAGAAAACGAACGAATCAACCAACCTCAAAGCACGGGGCCCCTCCCTAGGAAAATACCGGTTGCGACAGGCGAATATTCAGGTTCCGCTCGCTCACGATAGGACATCCCTCGTTTGGTTTTTTGGTATTGAATGTAACCAGACAGTTTCCCTCCCTCACGAAGCTGTTGGAGCTTAGATTATAGGACAGATCAGTTGCCAGGCTCTACTTATCTAAATGGTTACTAGCACGAAAAACGAAATCAAAAAAATGAGTTCCAGTGTAAACAAAGACTGGTTATATTCACATCTCAGTAATGCCCTTAGAAAAGGCATGAATCTACTTTTACATGTGTCAGTAGCGGTGCATTTGAAATCCACTCTCTTGTGAAGGTAGATATCAAAGAAACGGTTAACTTAATAGAAGGAAACTCTAGAGATTGGCAGTCGACAGAGCTGCTTTCGAAACTCGATTGAAAAATAGAAATGGTCGAAAAACAGTGATAAATTGCTTTATGCATTTTTAGGTAACTTTTGTTTAATTTTATCTTCGTAATTTTACTATACACGTACGGCATATTGTTACAAAATACTTGGTTATTATATTATATATTACATATAATATTGTAAATCACATATATGTGACAGATTTATTTATCGTGTGAGAATAAATTGTTCCAAAACCAAAACATTCTAAACTAAAAACTCGAGTCATGTTCTTAAATAGCCTCGTCAGATAGAGACTTTTATAGGGACGTCATGCATAGCGCCAGACCCTTTCAAAAATATTTAATACAATGTTTCTCAATCGGTGTTCCCTGGAACTCTGGGGTTTCACATGAGATCGCTAGGGGTATGTAGAGGACCGTGGGGGTTTGAGTGTATTGTATTAGGGACACGTGCTGTTTATTCCTGCTAAAAAGAATGTCCAACTACAAGAAAATGCCGAACTCAAATTGAGTCCAACTGAAGATGTAAAGACAAACAAAAACGATATATATGTCAACAAATATTTGTATTAAACAACAAATTTATAAGTGACAAAGACATTAACATTTGTGTGAGAACGTAAAGAGTTTGTATGTTGGTTAAAGTTTGTACGTACGTGTATGTGTGTATAATGTTCACGACGTCTTCCACAAATGGGAAGACGCAGATCTCTACGAGAGATCACATTTTCAAATGTATCCCCTGAATGCAAAGTAGAAAAAGAGAACGAGGCAAGAAGTCGCCCAGTATTTATAGTGTAGGGAGAGCGACCCCTATTGAACAATTATGGGAATTAAGGAGGAGCTAACTCCGACAGGTCCGTAGGAAACAGTGATAAATAGGCTAATGCATTTTTTTGAGTCATTTTTGCTTAATTCGTAATTTTACTATACACATATTGTTAGAAAATCCTTAGTTATTATGATAAAGTCTTCAAGCTCTTATATTATTTAAATGATAATAATCATAGCGAATGTATTTACCGATGTCCATATGGCGTCAGTGTAAAACCGCCTTCACTAGTTAATTAGCAGGACCTGTAGGTGACGGATTCATGTATTATTGAGTGAATCAAGCGAGTACAGGATGGGTGGCAATATATATTTATATTTAACACGTAAACTACGTTGATTGATTCGTTTTTCACGGCTTATCAACCCTTTGCTGGTTATTTAAAACCAGAAAATATTTTTAGATTCTAATAATTTTTATTTTTCTCTAGCGGGGAAATAATAATGGTTTAATGAAACAAGTCTTACTAATTAACCCATAGCTAGGAGAGAAGAGGTGTATTCCTACCTTTCCCAAGATTAATTGAGCGTAAGTGAATATAATTACATTTAAAGGGAATTGGAACTCGGCTCGCCTATTATCAATTCCAAGCAATTATCCATTACATCACCCGCCCTTCTTGTATTGTTTTCTGTCATTTACAAAATCCTTTGAGGGAGCGGAACTGCCTGGTTCCATTCAATGCCAAAAAGCAAACAAGGGATGTTCCATCAGCGGAACCTGAATGTTCGCCTGTCGCAATAAAAACCGGTATTTTCCTAGGGAGGGGTCCCCTGCTTTGAGGTTGATTGATAAACCGTAGAAAACGAATCAAACATTTGTAGGTTATTTAAAGCCATAATTTTTTAGATTGTAGATATTTCTTTTTTTGTTTTTCCTGTAATTTTCCACTTTTTGTTGGGAATCTTTGAAATTGTTATCCTGCATTTGATGCGCACAGAAGGAATTTTTTGTGCAAACCTGTATCGTACTTTTTTCGCAATTGTGTTAACTGTAAATGAACGGGTTTTCCTTTTGAAATTTTACGCAGTGATTTTCTTAATTTAAAAAATGTTGTGCCTCTTGTGACTTGCTGTTTCTACCAACTGGGCTTTGTGTCCGGCACAAGGACAGAGTTGACGAGAAAGTAAAAAAAAATTCATAGTAATGGCCAATGCTTAATAATTCGACATTGCTTAATAATTCGGTGATCATACGGGAAATGTGAACTCCGATAAAAATATAATAGATAGATATTACATTTTATTACTATTTAAATAATATAAGAACTTTAACATAATAACTAAGGATTTTCCAACAATATGCCGTATGTGTATAGTAAAATTATAATATATTTTATACGGGGGTTTCCGGAGACATGAAAACTATTTCAAGTATTCCACAAGGCCAACGGTAAAAAGGTCGAGAATCGCTACTCTATTGTGAAAACCAGCCACTTATAAACAGACCTCGTGTAAGCGTTGTTTGTGTTCTTTCGAACGCTTGAGATTTTTTAATTTTGGCGGCCTATTTTTTTTTTTTTTTTTTTACTTTTTTTTTGGTTGGTCGTGCGAAAGGGGACGTGACATATTTCACAAATATAAAAACATAAACGAATTGATTTAGCCATGTGTTTTCAGACAAGAAATTTCTACTTGGGTTTGTACTTTACGACTAAATCGGGAAACGACTTCTCTGTCACGAAATCTTTAAGTGAGCAGACCTTTTTATCGACACAACTATGTCTGTCGGAAGTGGGATGGAAATAGAAACACTATCCTCACAATTCAATCAACCTAAGTCCTCCTTGTAGCCGAGACAGACACACGTCTATTGACAATGTTGCTTTGGTCCATGATCAGTCACTGACCAAATTTCTTCTTTAAAGCTGACTGGTATACATTTATTACACGAGTATAAAAATTGTGGTTATGGGTCGCTGTACAATTTCAGGAATAAGCTTTTTTGGTATCTACTTTGTCCTTTTAACATTGAAAGGTAAGATCAGATTTAAATTATTTAAACAGTCGTTGATAAATCTTCCATCTTAAAAGTTGGGAGCACATTTTACAATTTAAATGATTTCTTCTTAACCGAATATCTGTTTACTCATTGTACAAACGTTTCTGGCACACACACGGCTATGTTTATATCTTTACCCACCCCCTACACATTTTATATACAGGAATCGTTCGATTAATGTTTTTCCATTAGTGCGTAAACATTTTTAGAAACCAAAATTCGATTAGTGTTACACTACTCGATTAGTGCGGTAAAACATTCTTCAATTTAATTGAAAACTTATTTTTTTATAGTGACTAATGTACACACTAGTCGCACTAATCGAGGGATTACTATATATATATTATTGCTGTATTGACCCCTCTACTCACCTTCACCAACGTTAACTTACATAATTCTACACATATCAGGTACCTCGGCGTGGTGTAATGGTTAGCAAGCTTGTCCTGTTAGAACCGAATAGTGAGTTCAATCCTCACTGGGTACTACATGCTTTCAGCCTAAGCTGTACTTAGAAAATCATTTTGGGTAACCCGACATGGTGTAACGTCTAGCAAGTTTGTCTCGCTAAAACCATTACAACTAAGTAGTGAGTTCGATCCTCACTGGGTGACCCATGCTTTCGGCCACATCTAAGCTACGCTTGGAAAATAACTATCGATAGGTGTTGTTATAATTATTGAGTGTGTGATATACATAATTTTGTCGAAATTTTAAAAACGGTAAATGTTAACCAGAAATTTTTACCTAAAAGTAGTTTGTTTATCTCCTTTTATTTATCACTGTACAAAATGTGATATAATCTTAATTTATCCAAGTGCTTATAAATATTTACAAGGTTCAAGACATTTCCTAACAATCGGCTTCTTAATTGGATATCTAACAAGAAGCCTGTTACCATTGTCGACCTCTAAATATTTCGGTGAGAAATTCAAGACATTATAAAACATGAACATTTGCTTCAATGACCGTAAAGGCAGGTACCAAAAAAAAATTGCTAAAAAAGGAGCATAGCATGATGAACGAGGCCCTTAATCTTTTTTACTATCTAAATGCTTATGTTATCAAGAGGAAATATCAAAATGGGGGGGGGTATTTTATTATTTTTTTTAATTGTTCCTAACAGGTCCGAAATTTTCGTTGAAAATCTTGTTTCGAGTCAGCAAAATTGACAGAAAATCGATCATGTCAACCATTTTTTGCATTTTGTAAACTAAAGGAGAGTTTCTAAAGGCAAAGCTTGATTTTCTTTTTTGTCCATGTTATGTTATTGTATTACTTTTTGTAAATACATTGTAAGCACCAACGACAATCCTTAACCATTTTTATTGTATTGTCTTGAAAACGAAAAAGAAAAATATATAGGGGGGGAAAAATATATATATATATGCGGAAAAAGAGAGAAAATATATATATGGGAAAACGAAAAGGAAAATAAATATATATATATATATATATATATATATATATATATATATATATATATATATATATGGGGA